TTCGGACGTGATAAAACTCGGTACTGTCTACCTCTGGTAAAAGCGTCATTGCATTTGGATCATTCTCAGAAAAGTTATGGCACGTGAAAGTTGAAAAAAAGTAATTCCGTAACATTTGGACAAGCCGCAATACGATTAATTTGATCTTTTCTTCACAAATCGAGAGCCCAGAGTGTCCTCTTCAATATGAAAATCAAGCAAGATCTTACTTTTCAAGGGTTGGGTATGGTATCGAATTTACTTGGAAGTAATCAGTAATACTGAGCCTAGTGGTGATAAAACTAACGAAAGCCACGCTTGTTGTCAGCCTGTTTTTCACCTTTTTTATAAGAAATCTACAAAAATGATTTGGAGAGAACATGATTTTCCGAAAGGATGTGTGAAAAGCAGCTAAGCAAAAACATATTTTTTCAATCTATTCGATACTAGAACCACATTTGGCAAACTCAACTAGCTTTATCCTAAAGTGTTGAACTCGTTGTGATGTTTTTTGAGTAAATACTGACACATGTAGTCAAAATCGGCCATAAATCGACGATCTTTTAGCGATTACTCACCTGGATTTGAGAATGGCGGTATATCGGTGATTTTTAACAACTGGTGATTTCCCATGCAAGCCGATTAGTCTCCAGTTGTTAAAAATCGACGATATATCGCAATTTATGGACGATTACAGTCAGAATCGCCAGTAATTGGCTATTTGATTGCTACTCCCAAGTAATCATCCATAACGGAGTGATTTTAACGACATGGGGAGTCTTTTAATATCAGGTGAAAAACAGGCTGACAACTCTAATTGTTAATAAGCATGGCTTTCGTTAGTTTCATCACCACAAGACACAGCATCAACAGATTTTCTCGAAGAGAATGAAAGAACGTTGCAGAACTCTCCGATCAAGCGATTTTTCCAAAGTGACATTTCCGTTTATACTTAACGATGATAGCTGGGTGTTTCCATGGAGTCCGTACCACGATATACACAACTTTGTTCGAATAAGCTGGAACCCTTTTTAAACGAATGACCCATGAGTAGAGTTAGCGTAAATCGAGTGAAAAAAGTTTTGGAAATATCGGCATCATAGAACGCCAGATCTCGATATTTGCGTTTTTTTGCGTTTTAGGGACCCAGTAACACTAAACTTTTGCTTATATAAACCAGTAGTGAACTTTCTTGAATTTTTTATGGAGTATATGGTAAAAAGTTAGGGCTTTCTTTTTTGAGTTTTTTGCCAGTTTTACGCTCATTTTTTTATAATCTCGAATTCCCTTTCATATATGTTTCATACCTATTCAACATGGGCTTTCAGGTCGCACAAGATACGATTTGTCCCAACTCAATGCCTTGTAAGTATAAACTCCATAAAATTTGATATTTCCAGTTTTGATGACTTCTTCACCTTTCTGAAAATTATATGATACTAATTAAGAATTACAATTCCATGGTAAATTTGTATACTGAGTAAATTTGCACTACTGTGCTTGTAATCAAATTAATATTGAAGTTTATTATAACTGCAAAAACTAGAATTTTTTTGTAGGATTTACAGTGACTAGCTGAGTACTTTCGACATGAGCATCAAACTCAGTATGCAAATTTATCTTAGAATTGTAATTCTAAAGTAGTATCATATCATTTTCAGAAAGGTGAAGAAGTCATCAAAACTGGAAATATCAAATTTTATGGGGTTTATACTTACACGGCATTGAGTTGGAACAAATCGTATCTTGTGCGACCTGAAAGCCCATGTTGAATAGGTATGAAAAATATATGAAAGGGAATTCGAGATTATAAAAAAACGAGCGTAAAACAAAAACTCAAAAATCCCCACCGGTACCTCGAAATTTTCGATTTCAGTTTAAAAGCTATGAAAGTTTTTGTTTTACCATTCGATAGATAATGCAAAGGCGAGTTGAACGCACTATTTGAAAGTGATTTCCATTTTGCTTTGCTGAAAATCTATCTATCACAAAAGAGGCCCAAAGTGAGTTTTTGGAAATCCTTCTCAAAACCTCCAAAACATTTTAAAATTCTTTTGGCAATAGCACGAGAAAGCCCTAACTTTTTACCATATATTCCATAAAAAATTCAAGAAAGTTCACTACTGGTTCACGCTAACCCTACTCATGGGTCATTCATTTAAAAAGGGTTCCAGCTTACGCGAACAAAGTTGTGTATATCATGGTACGGACTCCATGGAAACACCCAGCTGACACAGTGCGTAATTTTGACTAGGCACATGAGCATGTGCCATACAAGTGGCACAAAAGTCTTAAAATACTTCATAGGTTCCCGTATGTACTCTTTCCAATGGTGGGATTCACAAAGTTTAAAAACACTTTGAGTTCGGGTTTCCAGAGACGAGATCTTTAGAAAACCCTAATAAAAACATTTTTGAACTTGTGAACCACACGATTGGAAAGAGCGCATACGAAAACTTATAAAAATAGTGTTTACAGACTTTTGTATCCCTTTTCTAGCACATGTTCACATACCCAGCCAAAATTCCTACGGGAATTCTGGAAACCCATTCCATTAAATCAAATGAGTTTTTGCGCATTAAAACATACAGCCGGCATAGTATTCGACGCAGGTTTTCACGCTGAGTTCGAATATGTATAGATTGTTGTGATAAAAGGGTTTCCAAGCTGCGACAAGTGCAGATTAACCAGAACCAATAACAGAATAATTATTGATTCGGACAGAAAAATCGTAGAACAAAAGGTTTTTATACGAATCGATAGAAGAAGAGCTCCTCTTTCAGAATATGTATAATTTCTTTACCCACTCTTTTCCCTTTCTATGTAGATGTAGAATGATTTTTTTTCCAGAGGTCGCTGAAAACTAGCGAACTTTTGAGAACTGATTTTCTCAACGACTGTAAGCGCTTGATCAAAATTCTTTCGCCATTAAATCAGCCGTTAGCTAAAGTGTATTTGACACTATTCAAATCACGAAAAACCTCATTAACGATCTTTCACGTAATGTCCACGTTGTTGTCTACCGTGGCTAAGTTGTAAACTATGAAAATTTTGTTGAAGTTGACAAAGATAATTAAGAAAGCTTGATCATGACTGTCGTGCAGTAAAATCGCACTAGAAAATTTTCTAAGTTTAATAATGTTTAATCATTTAGTATATTCGCTGTGACATTGCCACTCCGCTTGATACATTGACACTTCTTATGTTTAACTTGTGGAAAATGAAAACGCCAACTTTAGTTTTGTCAGTTAGTGGTGGATTTGATTGTACATTGAATATACACTTCGAAAAAGAATTTATAGAAACTGTTACCCATGTAGTCTTAGGATCAGGTAGGTGTTTTTTCACTACGAAAGACTATGTTTTATTACAGTATTTTTAAAAGATACTTGGATTTTCACAAATGGCAATAAAAATGAAATTGGTCCTCGATTAGTTGGTGAAATTGTTTATAAAAACCGATTAAATCTTCTACGAAATCCAAATAGTGATGACAAAAATGTTTATGCTATTGGCGTATCGAATTGGGCAAATATAAAAAATCGTCGAGAATTAATTCGAGCAGGAAATACTCAGACATCAGCAAGGGTATTGTATCGATTATGGTATTGCGCACTAAAATAAAATTCAAGACAAATTTTGTTTGATAGCCATCAATGCTAGAACCAGGGGATCCTGTTGAACGAAAAAGCTTGACTGGTAGACAAGAGTTAGAACCAAATCATACACAATTTATTCTTTTCGATGATGGTACACAGGAACCATCGTATGATGATCGATATCGAGCACATCTTGTACGAGCCATATCACAAGGAGCGCAAAGAGCAAGTAATAGAAAACTAAATTGAGTTTCTTGCTTTATTATAAATAAAAGACTTATGTCATTGTTTAAGTACCACAAATAACCATTGTTCTTGCTGGTGGTTTAAATACATTAGAAGCTACATTTGATGATCTTCGTGCTAAAATACCAGTGATTATTGTTGATGTAAGTAACGTTTTTTTTCGTTCTATAGAGTGTAAACGAACGTCACTTGACAACACTTTCAGATAAAAGAAGCCATTTTCGCTCATATAATGGGCAGTCATTATAAGAAATTGTACAACTAGATTTGGTTTTGAAAGTCTGTATTCTGGTGTTGAGGTCACAAAAGTAAAGCTTTTTAAGAACATATTTCCTTTTTAACTTCTTTTTATTTACAATATAACATCTGACGATGATTCACTGCAAGTAAGAAAAAAAGATACGAAATATATGCATCCGTTAACTGTTTGGTCGGCGATAGATAACAAAAAAAGATTTTCTTTAAATATTTCTTATCTTTCCCGATCAATGCATATGAAAGCACAAGGACGAGCACTTGTTGTGTTGGATTAGATTAAAAACATACAACAGAACGTCAGTTTATCGACGAAAAATCTGTAAACTGATCCTGTATTTTTAATTCTGATTTGACTTTAAAAAATCTTGGTATCAGTCTAGAATTCTTGAATTTGATCAGAGTCTCTGTGATCTATCTCTTTATGTGCCGGAAATCTCCTCAAGACCATGAGAAGAGCATTTACTCTCTTTTCTCTTCTCTCTTAGATCGCAGACCGTTCATTCTTTTATCAAAAGATTCCCCTCTACAAAATCGTGTATAGAAAGTGATCATAAGATTTGAGACGTTGTCGTAATTGAACATAGATCAAAATGTCCTAAAACTTTAAAACTTTTGAATATTTTCCAACGACAATTTTGAATTTTGAGCGCCATTCTGAAAGTGATAGGTAGAAGATCTGAGGTTGTTTCATCGCATCTTTAGGTGTTCTCTTCCGATGGCGCACGACTCATTTTGTCTCCATCGGTCTGACGTAGTAAAAATGTCTCGTTCATACAGTTACGTCTACTCGTCTTTAACCTGAGAAATAAGGGAACCTTTGTTTCACACGTTTATTGGCGTCACGGGTACTCAGCGTCAAAAAATACAAAGACTGAAGACAAAACGTACTGTTTGTCGACAATAAGGGTGTGAAACCGTCGTGATAGACCATAGCATGGCGTATGGTGCACTGGCATGACCAATGTGGGCGTCGGTGTCGCTTATGGTGACAGTAGTCCTGAGATTAAGCTGCGCACACGGAGCACTGGTAAAGCCGACGAGGGCATTCGTGTCGAGATTTCAGTTCGAGATTTCGTAATTGCCTATGGCATAAGTTCACTTAGTGCGAGTTCATGTGAATAAGAATCTGCAACCTTGTTGATATGATGTGACGTGTTACTAATGGTAAGATTTGGTGCGTGTTTTCTTGTTTGGGTTATCGATGTGTTGTAATATAATGCGTAGTAGAATTAATGGTTCCCAAAATAAATAGCTGACAGAAATGAGGTGGAGGAGTGGTGGCAGATAGAAATAAGATCAAGCTCTAAACAAGTGAGAAAAAGAGTGATGAAATATTTCCTAACAATGATATATTCGTATCCAGAACAGTAATCTATCAAAACATTGTATCGGAGCGCCTAAATCTAATACTGCAGGAAGAACAAAGAATGACAACTTGCCTCGTAACCGCATGAATTAACGTTAATACTTAAGCTTCAACTAATATTTAATAACTGACAGCCGTAATCGAACAAAATGCGCTAGTTTTAACATCTCGATTATTCTCGGAAAAGTTTCCAAGGGGGAAACTGCGGACTTTATAGACTTGAGCATTAGAACTAATCGATAGAGAATTTCAAGTACTACATTTTGACCTTTTGCTTTGGACGCAATGCGTACGTTCAAGTTCATACTCACGAAATATCCTTGTTTGAGTTGAACTTTGTAAGCTGTTAGGACATTTTGATTTGTGCTCAATTAAGACAGTGTCAAATCTTATGATCATACACGATTTTGTAGAGAAATGAATATGGGAATCTTTTGGTAATGAACAGTCTAAGATCTAAGAGAGAAGAGAAAAAAAATATTAAGATAGCAATTTCTTTTGTTACAAGAGATACAAGAGTCAGCTGACAGCCTGCAGCATAGTTGCTAAATTTTATTACAAAGAAATGTAAAATATTACTGTTCGAAAAAATAAAAAACCTCTCGCAACATTCATAATCGTCAGACTAATGAATGTGTTCATCCTGTAACGTTTTTCTGCAGAGATATGACTTGGACTAAACACATCGACCAACTTGTAAAGTAACTTAGTTGCTTAGATTAACGATATTTCGTTAATACCCCAGCATACCTTAAAGTGCATATCAGTTTAATGGCAAATCATGCAACAGATTAATGGCGACAGAAACACTTCTACTATGTCTTAAAGTGTGAAGGTATGAAAAAAATGCTGTAGCAGTTTGATAGTCTATTTAATTTTGGCAAAAACTACTCGTTCTTTGGATGACTTAAAAATAATACATGATGTTCTGTGTGCTGTTATTCGAGTCACACAAAACGTTTTTAGTGCTCATTTCTCCGGCCATCTATTTATATCCTTTCAGATTAGCTACCATAGATTTTTGGCCTCATAAAACATTATTTTCCCCTTGTATAAATAACCCTGGTCTTAACTTGACGAAAACACATGTGGCTAGAGGCTAATAGAGCTGAATTTTTGATATTTTTCTTTTCAAATTAATAGTCAAAAGTCTGAAATTCGAAGTAGCAAAAGTCTTTGTTCGCTCTCCCTTCTAAAAAATCATATAACAACAATTACGCATGCACCAATACAATATACTATGTTCCAATAATATTGGTCACCAAATATTTTGGAACTAATAATATTAGTCATCCTAATATACCGG